AAATTTAAAATAAAATGTGTATTTTACCTCTACTAGTGGACATACACTAACATGCATACGTTGTCTAAAGAAGTCTCTTATGCTCACTTAAGCTGTATTTAATTGATCAAAAATAGAGTTAAAAACAGTAGTATGTTGAGAAATAATAAACGTCATGTTTTTAATGTAAACGTTTAAAATTTAAAATAAAATGTGTATTTTACCTCTACTAGTGGACATACACTAACATGCATACGTTGTCTAAAGAAGTCTCTTATGCTCACTTAAGCTGTATTTAATTGATCAAAAATAGAGTTAAAAACAGTAGTATGTTGAGAAATAATAAAATTTTAAAATGTAACTTTTTTCTATGTTAATGTATTTTAAAATGTAATTTATTCCTGTGATTGCAAAGTTTAATTTTTATCAGCCATTACTCCAGGCTTTAGAGTCAGATTGTCCTTCAGAAATCATTTTAATATGCTGATTTGCTTCTCAAGAAACATTTCTTATCAGTGTTGAAAACAGTTGTGATACTTAAACTTTTTGAGTTGTTTTGCAATGTAAAAGTCTTTACTCTCACTTTTGATTCTTTTTACAGAATAAAAGCATTAATTTCTAAAAGGAACCCCAAACTTTTAAACAGTTGTAGGCCTATATTTTGGTCAGTTTTGGAGATGCAAGATATTTTTATTTTTATTTAAGATTTTTTTCTGTAGTGTTAGTTGACTGATTATTTTTTCTAAATATTACAAGGGACATGTATTAAAAACAAAACAAAAAAAATTACTTTCATCAGCAATATGACATCACGATTCACTTTTTTTTAATCACACTTCAGTAGATGTTTAAGACCATCACAAATGCTCATAAAAGCTCATGTAATGTCATGTTTTATGCACGCTAATGCCCATAATTACACCGCATTGCACTTTAAATTCCTCCATCGCTTTTGATAATCGACTCCTTGTGCGATCCGAAAGCCCAAAGCTTTATTTAACTCTGTCAATGAAACAAACAAACCATTAAAACAGAACAAACATCCACAGCGGTGACACGGGGGGCTTTTCCTGCCTGTGACAGCATGCTTGGCTGCCCCCACTGAGCGCTGTTTCTTGATAGCAGTGTTTGCACTGGCCCCATCGTGTCTTTCTCTAATTGCTTCCATGTGTGAGTGTGTTTCTGGATGCTAAACATGCAGAACTAGTATTGAACAGTTTTTGGCGGTAACATACAAGGAATTCATATGTGTGACTTTCATTAGAGATGCATTAAATGGTAAAGATGCCATTTTTATACACCTATGTTGTAAGTTGTTAAATAGTAGCTGATGTGTTACTTTACGTGGGCAAGAACAGTCTTTTCCATAATGTGTCCCTTTAGTGCATACTTTAGAGGAGCAGAGGAAATGACATTTATATGACACATGAGTGTGCTGTGAAGGGAATTTGTGTCTCTCAGACTTGGACTTTGTGTTTGTCAGTGGTATTATTGTAAATCAGTCATTTATACCCCTCAGGGGAGAGCTAATCACTGGAGATTGTGCTGCAGACCAAAGTGTGAGGAATTCCTTTCCTGCCGCTAGGAACGGGCCAAACTGAGGAATGACAATGTCAGATTGGAAGCAAAAAGAATAAAAAACACTAGAAAGGGATTTAGGCATCAACATATTGTTCTTCTACAAATGTATTTGATGACACATCCACATGTTTCAAAACAGATTTTGTGCCTAGTAGTGTTGTCACGGTACCAAAATTTCAGTATTCGGTACCAATACCAGTGAAAATCCACGGTTCTCGGTACCAATTTCGGTACCAAAGCAAAACACAAAAACATGCTAATTGAAAAATTTGGCTATACTTTCATTTAATCCAAACTGTGTACATATTTAATTTTAAAGGGCTTTTGAAAACCTAGAGTTATTCAGCCAAGAATAACAACTAAGTTAACTAAAAAAATAAAATAAATAAAAAGCCCAGAACTGCTTTTCTGACTGATATGACACAAACAATGTTAACCATTTGTACACTCTCCAACACGCATATTTTAGATTCACAATTCATTTAAAAGCCTCTGGTGTGTAAAAATAGTAAATAAAATCATGTCCTCCTATTTTTTTTACCCTAATAAAAGTTATAGTCATTAAATAGTTAATAAAGAAACTTCATTCTAATGCTCATTATATTAGCGTTAGCCGTGCTTATGCTAATGATTAACTACTCTAATAACAGCGTTCATTTCAATCAGACATTCAAATTAAAATATTGAGTAATATTCATAACAGAAGCAGTGTTTCCCACAGACAACACTCTATTTGCACTCTATTTGTGGCGGCATATATATGCAAATTCATTCTCTGCCAGCAGGAGGCACTTGTAGAGCGGGAGACATCAGGTTTCCCCAGTACGGCTGTAATCAAATAAGCGCTGCGCTCACAAGCGCTGATATAAAAACACCTGCACCGGGTTTCGACTTTGACACGTGCAGTGCTCATGTTTATTGAACGAAGTCAAAGCCTTTTGGAAAATCTATTTGTGGCGGTCAGTTTTGATATTGTGGCGGGCAGCCACAAATAAATCAATGTATGGGAAACACTGATTTAAATATTAAAAATGAAAATGAAACTTACCTGCTTGAACTCTTTCATTTGATCTGGGTGTCTTTAAAGTGTTTTGTTAGTTTGGTGTGTTTCCTCTTTTTGATGTCGCCACGTCTCAGTGCTTTTATGAAGAGAGCGCATCTGCGCACCTTTCGGATAGTGCATCAAGAACCGGGTTGACCGGGTACTCAGTACCACCGGTACTTAAAAAAAACTGTTTTTCATTTTTTTAGTACCGACTTGGTACCGAAGTACTGGGTCTTTTGACAACACTAGTGCCTAGTTTTTGTTCTCTTTGAGTAAATCATGTGTGAAATGAACACACATAGAGAGAATTATGGGCTTTCCAGTTCCCCTTATTGACCACTTAAAATATTTCATAGAAGTTGGAGCCGTGGCTCCATGTGAGTTCATTCATTCCTCTCTCTTCCAATAATTTCTTGTCTCGCTCCACTATATCTACAGTATAAAGATGTTTTGAAGAAAGTGTGAGTGGTGTTTGCTTATTGCCTCTGTGTTGCTAGAATGTTGTGGGTATTTGCCAGGTTGTTTCTATATGAATGCAAAGGTGTGCTGTTTAAAGGGTTGCAATGCAGTTGCTATAATAGTAGGGCTGGGTAAAAAAAATGATTTCTCGATTTTAATAGATTCTTATAATTACGAAGCGATATCAGTTCTTAAATCCCCAAAATCAATTAGTCCAGCCTGTTTTCAAATAATGAACGGAATATTGTAGCGCACCTCCCATCCAATAAATCGCAATAAGCTTTGTGCTTTGTTACTTTTGATATGAAACAAAGTCTCAGATTTCAGATTTATGACAGTTTTCAAACAATAACGTTTGGCGCTGTTTAATGTTGAGTGGTAGATCGCTGTAGTGCCTCTGTTCAAGAAAAGCAAAGTGCACGTGAACTGATCATCTCCTCCGCTGTTATGTTATGATGTTACAGATTGGAGTAGAAAGATAATTATGTAATTGTAACTTTATTATTATAAAAACTTAATTGAGTGTAATTCAAGCGTTTGTATACAAATCAGTTCATTTTAACCATCAATATTATAGTAATGTAGTACCAAATTACTCTCATTTATATTTTACAGCATTAGTTGAGAGATTTTTTTTTCCTTTAGAAAATTTGGCATGTACCGTACTTGATATATATCCATAATAATTTTGAATTGAATCAGATTCTTTTTTGTGAGTCAGATTCTAATCGAATTGTGAAATTTGTGTAAAAACCTAGTTGTTAGGGTGTTATGAGGTTTGCTCAAAACGTTACAAAGAGGGAGACTTGAGGAACAGGATGAAGGCAGGCCTAAAGACTGTGAGGATGAGCACATCAGTCAGAGGGAGGATGTTCTAGACTAGAGCAAGCGAGAGAGGACAGAAGAAAGGGACAGGGCAGAGGAGGAGGCAGCTGTGGACACAACTGGACCGTATGCTGACTGAACCAGATTTTGGACTTTTAGAGAGCTTGGAGAAAAAGGGATGCTCAGATCTGAGGGACACACATGTTTCTTCTTAAAGATGAAGTGACGAGAACGACCAGTAAGTGTAAGAACCACTGTTAGACTTGTTCAGTGAAATGTTCAGTGTTGTGTTCAGAGGGAGATTTCTGCAGACTGTGAGTGGTTTCTGTTCAGCAAATGTGTAATTTAGCACAAGTATGTGGAGAATCCTGTAAGAAAAGGATATAATTGTCAGATTGTGGTGAGGTCATTTCCTGACCCGTCCGCTTTTATGATGGCTTATTTTGAGAGACGCTTTGTTTTTACTCTTTTTTTTTTCATCTCTTGTGGATCTTTCTCAATGAAATGTGGTGTAAAAGGATCCAGACAAAATGGAAAAAGAGACCAAAAAAAAACCCCACACACAAAGAATCCCATTCTTCATTTTCTTTACTTGCCTCAACTTTAATGTCTTTAAATAACAATATATATATATGTGACCCTGGACCACAAAACCAATCTTAAGTCGCTGGTGATTTTCTCAATATTTAGATTTTTTTGCACCCTCAGATTCCAGATTTTCAAATAGTTGTATCTCGGCCAAATATTGTCCTATCCTAACAAAGCTTTGAGATGGTGTATAAATCTCAATTTCAAAAAATTGACCCTTATGACTGGTTTTGTGGTCCAGGGTCACATATCTACACACACACAATTTTAATGTCATTAAATACATTATATTGCATATGCATTGTTGCAATCACATTGCAATACATGTAATATGTATATATGCATCTATATTAATCATAATAATAATCAGTATTTATGTATTCTCTATGTATTTGCTGTTTTTGCTGTATTGAGGCCAATAGCTAGTAATAATTTTTATGAATAAATCTGAATATGAACTCATGTGATTAAGTCGAAATTGATTAATAAACTGTTGAAGAATCATGTCATTGTTTGTTTTCAGAAATCGAAGCAAAGGAGGCATGTGACTGGCTGAGGGCGGCGGGATTCCCACAGTATGCCCAACTTTATGAGGGTAAGAAATGGGATTCATATCTATAAACATACACACAGATGTCAAAGAATCGCTCGTTGATTCGGTGGCCTCAACAAATTTCTGCAGTGTGATTGCAGCTGTGAGGTTAAGTGACGGTAAAAAATCAGGAATGCGGTGGGACGAGAGAGAGAACAGTTGACTGTTGCTTTGAGTTTGAGATCACACCTATCCCATCCCACCTCAGCTAAACAGACAGAAGCCAAGCAGTGATCACAAACTGAATTCTTTTTGGTTTTCCGTTTCAGACATATGGAATAAAAAATGCATTTACACAACTGTGTGCTCCATTTGTCAGCACATTTTTTTCCTCCCTCTCTGTATCTTTTCTGGTCATTTTAGGGCCGCGGCGAGCTATTTGCAGGCTAGAGTTTCTATCCAAAGGGA